CCGTGTCCGCAGCGCATAAAATAACCATGCGAATTTACCCCACGCCGCTCCTCTAATATTCCTGCTTGTCTCTTTAATATTGTACGCGATTCACGACCGTGTAAGCCCGCGATCGTCCTGCAAACGCGTAAAACAGGATTTCGTGTACGATATCACCCAATCTTTGCTAAGGGCATTAATCGCGATCAGATGTGCAAAACGTTTCGATCAGAATTAGGTTTGCTGATGGGATACGATCTATGTACAAGATCAAGTTCACTAAAACTGCTATGTTTCAAATTTTTAATTTTCTAATAAAAAACTTTCAAACTGGTTATTTGACCCGTTTGGTAGTTTTAAATGCTAGCAATGTTGCGATGTCGTTGCAATGCAGATCATAAGCTAGCGAACGTTAACGGCGTCCGTAATGAAAAGACACTCGTAGCTCCCGATAAATCGAAAGATCCGATAGGGAAGCAGAGATGCTTTGAAAATTCCCTGCCGTCGCGATGCATCCCTCGGTCGGTGGTTTCTTAAAATCAGCCAGGATCCGCGTGCTCCTTCGGTTCGTATCACTCGATCAGGGAATAGGAGGTGAATCGTATTTCCGATATGCGGCTTTTGAACTCGCATTCCCTGGTTGCCGCGGGAGAACAGAGCGAGAGTCGCGTGACGCGTATACACAAAATGATCCACCCACGTTCCGCGTTATCCCGACAGAGATACTTTGTTGTTCCGGGACCGAGATCGTGGTCGTTGCTCCGGCTGTCTGTTGCCCTTACCGAAACCTCCTCTCTTCTTTTCTCTTATTTATATTTCACGTTCCACGGCGTCTAACGCCTCTTTCGGATGTTAGCCGGACCGTTTCCCTTGTCACCGTTTCGTCCGGTCGTAAAACAAAGACGAGTGTCGTTCGGCTGCGTTTATTCAAATGAGAGACTCGGGAGAGAGAGAGACGCACGTAATTCGGCTGGCGCATGTAGCCGAACGATGCTACGTTCGTGTTATGCGCCAAGAAATTTCATCCCAGAATTCCAGCTCCATCCTGTTGGTCCTCTTCTCGTTCGCCCTTTTCAGTCGAGCCGCGCATCTCCCACCGACTGCTTGTCCCGACGTCGCTCGCTTTATCCCTGTCCCATATTTTTCCTACTTTACACGCAACTTTTCCCTGCTTCGTGAAACTTGCAGCATCCCTGCGCCGCGTAAATGTTTCATCCGCGGATTCGCGATAGACTCCCTTTCCTCGGCAACGCAATCTGCAAATGCAACCTCGTCCACGATTTAGGATCGATCCGCGCTATTGATCCGCCACTCTGATCAAATATTATACCGTTTATATTCTACAACCTCGATTCACCTTGTTCAAATACCTACAGTTTGCACAATGGAATAATAGCGAACTTGTCCCTAACGAGTACAATGTTGACCGGATGTAATATTATTTATTCTTCTTATCACGATGCTTGGAATATTAGTTTATTCAGAGATCAGTGAATCTGACCTACAGTAAGATTCCCCAAAATTCGAAATTCTAAGGTAACGCTTTGTAGCACAATGAAAGCTACGTATGAATTATATTGGCACTACGGAGCGTAAAAATAAACGTTCGTTGGATTCGTTGCTTGCCAGCTAACTGTGCCAAGACGAATATTCCTAAGGAAGTATTCGAGGATATTTATCGTTCGCCATAAAACGCAGTTGTTCTGTTTCTAATTATATATTTCGTTCCTTTCGCTGATAGCGGAGATTCGCTGCGCTCGGTTCAGGGAACTGCATTAATTCGTTTATAATCGTCTGCGATAACCTTGCGCAATATAATTTCGTACGACCTCTGTTAATTTAAACAGCCACTGTCACAATTTTCTGACGCGAATTTTCGTACAACAGATTTTATATTTGTCGAGGTGAATTAAACCTAGCTGAAGTGAAATCCGAAACTAATTTAAACCGAACTCATGCGATCAATCGTTATTTTCACCGTGTCGAAGCAGGATACTTTGCAGTATCGATGACAAAAGCAAGTGGATCAATTGAATTTATACGAGTGGAGAAAGCGTTTAAACGCGGAGTACCGACGCTAACAACGGTACCGGTGCTAAAAGACACCGAAAGAATAAATAATAAACATCGGTACGACATGCATATAGCGTCCATTTAGCAAACATTTAATCGTCGAACACGGTGGAGTAATTATCTCTCGGTTTACGGTAAACGATGAACTTCTTCGGCAACGTCAGCCGAGTTTAAAGCGTCTCGATAAAAAAAGAAAAACGAGAAAGAAACACTCGAAGCGGAGGAAAGAGAGGAACTTTATCGAACTTAAAACAGCGGCTCCGTCTGTGTCGTTGCACCGTTTCCAGGATGTCGGTCGAGCTAATTAGCTGAATCAACGCACTTTTTCAAATACGTTTGCCTTGCATATAAAATATTTAAATTGCACCGTCGGTTTCGTGACTGGCGTGCTCCCGATAGAGTCGAAACCGAGACGTAGAAGTAGGTCGAAGTTAGACGGCGAAGTGAACGAGTTGGCCTCAACAGAAACCCGTCAACGCCGATGTAGGATTCCGCTGGGAAGTTTGTCTCCGCTGTTAACTTGAACTTCAGATGCAGACGGTATTGGTATTGCCAGTCGATGGCTCTTGCCGAAATGTCCGGGTGTTTCGTCATCAATTTTAACGGGAACGCGTGCTGACGTGATAAATACTAAACCAGATTTCACGGCTGTTGCTCCACATTATCGGAAATTCGAAGGGAACACCGTCCAATCGAAATATCCTTTTAGTCCGAAAACCTTTTCAACGAGAAAAGCCAATTACCTCGGACAAAAGTATCGACGTCCATAAAAGAATACACCGGAATTAGAAATGTAAGCATTTACAGATCCAGAGGCTGGAGGCTCTGGATACCTTGGGATATGGGGGTTAGACATTTGGATCTGACATGTAGATTCAAAGGTATTTTGGACAGGTCGCGATCTGGTCAGGGTGGAATCTAGGCACGTGTGGATTTAGGTGTTTTTGGTTTAGGCAATTCGCGATAAAATTAGATTGGGATTGTAGAGAAATTTAGACCGAGAGAGTTGAAATCTGCAGAGTGGCATTGTGGAAGGTTGGGATATTCGTCAATAATGGATCGCTGAAGGTTAGGTTAGAACGATTCGACATGTTGGAAGATCGAGTTCTTAAAGTTTATATCTAGTAAGGTTATAGTCTTGCAAGGTCGATGTCTAAGAAAATTGAGTCATTAGGAGATTGGAATCTAGGAAGATCCATTCGCATATAAAAATTTCAAGATACAAAATTATTATAAACTTGTCGCGATATACTGTACAATACTTGCAGATTTCGATATTGTCTCTCAGAGATTATTTAAATATTAATAAAATAGTCAAACTGTAAAACAAGCGTGAAATATGCCATACGTACACTACCGTCCGTAAGTATCCGGACACTTGGCTAGTAACAGCTTAATTAGCCCTCGACGATGGTTTTCCTATAAACGAAATTTCCGGGCACTTAATTTATCGGTAGTCACCGTATTCATAGACACGTTCGAATTAAAGGGAATTCTCAAAGCACGACTACAAGCCATATATTGTCTTACGCCGGTCGCTGAAAAAGAGCTTGTATTTCATAAGGCAAGGTACTCGAGGCTGAAAAAGGATAACAAGTCAAATGCGTGGCATGAATAAAGCATTATCAGTCTCCTTTCTGCTGCGAGCCAGCACTTTGACGTAAATGTACGCTTTTTACTTCATTGAGTGTCTTACATGCTAACAAGTCACCGGAAATGGTTGCACGCTTTTACGGATTCGCACACTTGTTCTTTCCTTTAACGCGCGAACTTCTACTTCTCTACTTATTCAAATATTTATCGACTGCGACTCTTAGCTACTCAATTTCCGCTTCTTCTATAGGGTTATTTATTCGAGTGTATACAAGAATGTTCGATCAAAGTAAGTAATGAGAGGTAGTACTTTCGTATTCACCGTGATATATCAATTTCGTTTTACAAAATTTCTCGGTGACCAGTACTACCGAATATTAATCTAGTAATGGTTTTATATTCGACAGGAAAAGAAAGGCAAATAAACGGTATATAACGCCGCAAAATGAACGCTGCCCCAATTACAGCTAACGAATAACGAGCTGGTTAACACTGATGGCGGCACGTTTCATAGGTAGCCATGGGCGCACATTTGAGCCGGCAATCAAATCAGCGCCGGTGACTTACCTGTAATTGGGTCAAGACTAATCTGTCGCTAAACATTCGCCTTTATTAGCTTTTTATTCCGTCCAAGCATAGCCGCTGATCGATCGAGCCTCTTATACCTCGTTGACACGTTGTTTCGCGGTTGAAAAGCGGTATATCGCGAATAGCTTGCTTTCTATTTGTAAGCAACAAGTGTCTCGCTCGGATGAGGATGAATATTTAATCGAGACATCGAAAGACACGGTCCTAGCGGTTTTTATCATGAAACTACCCGCCGCAAAACCTCTTCGCCCGTCATCGAGTTCTCGTTCGCGTTCCCCGAAATACGTGCAGCTGTCGTCGTTCGACGAACTATAAAATGCGTTATACTACGCGGTTATAAATCACCTTTCGCTTACCTTTCGATCCATTAAACAATCATCGTAAAATCGAGGCTGGATTTAGAATTAACGCGTCCACGGTTACATGCACCGCGGTAGCCGGCGAAATGACATAAATTACGTTGGCAAATTAAGATTAATTAAGCTAGCCGCTAATTACGTCGTGCTACCTTTCCCTTCTCCTCGTTAATTTCTCGAGACTTCGTCGTTACTGCCTTTGAACAGTTATTTTTCAGAGTAACGTGACAAATTTTTTAGAAATATAAGTTTCACGAACGGAGACTGTATTTTTAATAACGACAGAGTATAAGGAAAGTTTGATATTGTATCGGTGATATCTATTCTACGAAATATATCTATGAAAATATATTTATATCAATTCTACGAAATATATCTATGAAAATATATTTATATCAATTCTACGAAAGTTTCAAGGTATTGTATCACCGATAAATGTTATATTCAACAGATGTCTCATACAGGGAAGTTCACAGAGTACCCGTATTACGCGTTCTAATAAAACATGCGATAATTTTCCAAATACTTTGAATCGATATAACATTTAACACTCGTTAATAACGCAAAGCGAGTATGTTTCGATGAAAGCAGAAAATCAGGCCATTTATCGAAGCAGTTGCAACGCGGTTGTTTTACGAAATAATTCCGGTGATGATCGACGGAGTGTCGTATAAAAAATTCTGTCCGCATCCGACTAAAAAATATGAGAGCTTTCGCGAAATAACGGTGAACGGAAATACGGGTAGCGGGTGTGCGCTTCGGAATAATGAAAGATTGTTTGGCTCCGTAGCATGATGCTCGTTTCGTCGAAATTACACGGAGTGTCTCGTTTTACTCCATAAATTGATACGGTTTAACAAAACGAGCCACGATGGAACGCTGGCGCGCGCAACGAACGGTGTTTACACGTTTTTACACGATTCCACGAGAGACCACTTTAATTACGGCCGTTGAAAAAACAGGAGAAACAACGAAAATATCGCGTTCGAATTTGCTCGGTTCGCGGATACTCCCCCGCAGGTAGTCGCGAAGAAACTTTTTCCGTAGCCGAAGGAGCGCAAGGACGCGAAAACGCGTGGAAGAGGGAGAACGAAAAACGCCGGATTAGCCGGTGGTATTTCCAAGGAGTGGCGAAAGACGTACGGCCGGGGATGCCACGAAGAACAATTTGGCTCTGTAATTGCGACGAAGGAACAAATTGAATTCCTGTACGTACGCCGGTGCATTCGCTCTCTTCAAAATAAACCGACTCTGACTGCAATCTACCTCGGGACGTTCTCCGAATCGAGCCGTGAAACCGTTCCTAGTCCGAAAATCGACTCTAACTTGCGTCGAGACCATCAACGAGCGCTATCGGTGCAAGATCATTCGGGTACATCGATTAACATTCGCACAGTCGATTCTTCCCTCGAAGGCTCGCACTGATCTAGACTCATGACCGATAAGGTACGAGGCCTGTCCCAAAAGTATCCGACCTTTAATTTCTTCGCACCTGACAATTTTAGTGTCATTCACCGGGTATGAGTATCAACTGCAAAGCTTAATTGTCGATATCGATGCTAAAAAGCGAAGAAGGAGAAGTTAAAGACGAAGGAGAAGGAGACTAGCGGGTGGCATCGATGGAGGGGTTGGGTTAGGTTGGAGGGGAGGATGGAAGGGAGAGCAGTTTGGCCCTGTAATTACGTGGAAACGTCGGGGCCAGGAGGGACACGGCGAGGGGCAGCTACGAGGTACCCTATAATCTTGCTGGGACCGCCCCTTGTTTGCTTGTATAATTACCCCATGGCCCTCCTTCGATGGGGCCCGATGGGGCCCGGTTCCAATCCGTCGGCCCGTTCGTCATTTCGTTCGTTCGAGGCTCGGCCATAATGCCGATATCATTACCTAATGCATCGCGCATGCATTCCGTTGCATGCGCTCGTGGGCCTCATCGAGCTTCGCGATCTCCGTCGCTTTCCTTTTCTCCCGCCCCTTTTCGTTTCTTCTGCTTCTATTTGCTCATTCTTGCTCGACGATTTCTCAGGATTGACGTAATTGGCTTATTTGCATTGTTCCGTCTGTGCATCCTATCCCGAGCTCTCCTCTCTCCAATAAGGTACGATCCTCTTTTGCCGAGTGTTCTTGCGTCACGAGGCTGTATATCGTGCAGTCGACGGAAAATCTGCCTTCGACGAGAAATATCCAAGCGAGAACTACTGGCTACCTTCCGAAGATTTCACATACTCATTTAAGAAATTTGTGGACTGGGATCTGACATGTATTTAGAGATTTGCCACGTGTACGAATTTTAAATTTGATAACATACGAATCTTGGTTCCTAGGGACTTGTAACAGTAGTCGAATGTGTCTCCGTCCAAAGGAAGACGTTGCACGGTGTACACACAGCGGTAGTATTGCAATCCGAATACCTCGAGAAAGCGTGATACTTCACCCTAGGAAATATGGAAATTTATGCGAGAACGGTCGAATTTTACGGATCATTACGAGATGCAGCGCCGTCGGGACTGTGAGACTGTTCAACGTCAGCTTGCCGCGAGCTTTCTTACTTCTTCGATGATTGATCACGTTATTTCGAGCCTGGATCATTCTTTTGTTTAGAATCGACGGCTGTGCGCTTTTCTTCCCCTTTTTCCTGCGAAATCGGTATTACTTTTCGAAACATTAAACTCTGGCAGCGTTACCCTTGGCATCGGACGAACGGACCACTTATCTGGAAAGAATGTAGTAGTACAATGTTTATCGCATTGAAAATACGAAGTGAGGAATACGTTGCTTTTCAAACATACGTAGATACTTGGATATCTTTTGAAACATACATGTTTCATGTACATTTTTTTAAACAATTAACCTATTAATCATATCAACCTGTACTATTTAAATGTACTTGAAATAGCAATTAGTTGTCAGTGTCATACATAAATACATGTACGATGACCACGTGAGATCGCAATTACTTTTCACGTTTTAAAACCTATGAATTTGCAGATCAATTTCGACAACATAGTAAAGTGATAATTTCCAGCAGCAGCGTAAATTATAAAATTACAAAAATAAGATAGATATAAAACCCGATGAAATAAACGAGTAAACCCGGTAAAAGTATAAGTGAAAAGTCGCGACATTGGGCGGAGCTATTCGCGAGGAAATGAACAGGCTCGAAGACTCAATTAGCGCGAAGAAGCAACTCGTAGGAAACGAGGAAGAATTACCGAAATGACTGGCGGCACGAAATACGAGCGTTGCTCGACATCAAAGACGTAACTCTCTCGCGGGCGTAATATCAGCCCGTGATGCCCGACACCGGGTATAAAATGGGTCGGCGCCCTTAAAACAGTAGCTGCAACGTCGACTTCAAAAGCATACCGTGTGTAAGGACGTCGGAACGAAAGTCCGCATACTTCCATGGGGTGTCTGGTTGACTCGACGCATCGGTTCACACCCCGTCAATTACAACCCTTCTAGAATCCTCGTTAAAACTCGCATCCTCGAAACGGTTCAACTTTTTAGCTTGACTACGTCGATTTGACTAAACGGTGATATTAGCTTCTATATGGTCGAGATTAGCTTCGATTGCTGGGGTTTATCATTTATCATCAGGGTAAGGTGTACTGATTTTGTCAGTAATTTTTCGCTAATCGCTTAACTTAAGTGACTTGTTATATTTATGCGTTGCAAGGATGATTGTACATGAGGTAGGTAATTGATAGAAGTAGCGAATATATGTGGTTGATGTAAAGAGTGATTGAATAGCTCGACGAAAGACACTGTGTTTAACAATAATTATTTTAATAAATACAAGCTGGTAATATTATTAAAAATGTTTATATTCAAAGATATATTTGAATTAACCCCTTGCACTATTTTGACGAGTCTGACGCACTCGTACCTCGGTCGTGATAAATTTTGCTCAAATGTTTAACACGTTTCAATTTGGAGTTCAAGTCTAATTATAATTTGCATAGTCAACGAGTGAATAATAACATATTGACATAACATTTCAATTCTTTTTGTCCGTTTTAATATTGTAGCTACAAATAGTCAGTTCTGACTGACACATCTGACAAATAAGTCATAGTGCAAGGGGTTATAAAAACCTACTATATTAAAAATGTTTATATTGAAAGACATATATGTCGAATTAATAAAAGCTTACTATATCAAAAAATGTTTATATTAAAAGACATATTTGTCGAATTAATAAAAGCTTACTATATTAAAAATGTTTATATTGAAAGACATATATGTCGAATTAATAAAAAGTTACTATAAGCTAGTTATTGATGTACCACCATTTGTATCGTGTTTCATAATGAAAATTCCGCGAGTTCGCACAGGTGAAAGAAGAAAGGACGATAAGAAACGTATTTATGAAGTCAGAGGAAAAAGCGTAGGGTACAGCTGCAGGTCGCAGTGTCGAACGAGGGTTAAAAATGGAGGGAGTAACGAGCGAGCATGCAGACGGCGAAAGGGAAAAAGAAAAAAATGGAGGATCACGCGAGCGGTGACAGTGAACGATCGCATCGATAGGGCCGCATCGATACGTCACGATCTCTCGACAAGATAGAAACGGTCCTTGATAAAATGCGCGCCTACCTTTCGACTCGAATCATATTTTCGTGCTCGATCGCGACTGGTCGACTCTCGCACGCGATCGTAAGGACTCTTTTATGAATATACCGTGTACGTATCCGGTAGTCTAATGACCCGAGGCATAATAGAGCTATTACCGTGGGCGGTGAAAGACATTAACGATTGATAGGCCCCTTCATCTTTTAAATGGAAATCGGAAACGTGCGTTTCCTGTCTTTCCTACGAAATTCCGCTAATTGGATACTTCATTCATTTCTCTGCAAATGCAACAACGCACTTTCTTGCTATTGAAAATTAGAACTTTGAAAACTTTTTAAATTACGAAGTTTGAAAAGTTTTAAGAATCAGGGAATACAGAAATCGTTTAAAAATCTGAAGATCCGGAAGTTCGAAAGTCAGGATATTTCTCGTCGTAAAAACAGATACGATTCGAGTAAATCACGAGCTGTTGAATAATTAACACGCAATCTACGATTACGCGTGATAATTGAAGAATTAAAGTCATTAACACCTGATTACCATTCGAACGTCGTAAAACGAAGATTTTAATAGCGGTTTTATAGCACCATTAAACTCTCCACGGTTTATCTAGATCAAGCACTCGAAACGGTAATAAAGATACATGAAATCTGATCCATAACCGATACTGTTAATCCCTAAACAGCAAAGGAACGTACAAACGAAAGCTAACCTTTTCATGAACACCGTAGGATTCCATGCGAAGAGAAAGGAATTTTTAATCCATCAGAATTCGTTGAATCGAAAGAATTCACTGTCCAAACGTTGAAGCAATTTCAGCGAGTAGACGTGCCTGCAGGATAGATTCACCCTCGCAGATTTCCATTTCTGGTATCGTAAGAGAATCAAAAATAGGCCACGTGTCGTTCTCTCATCTGATAAGTTTAGTTTCATTAAAATTGTAGTTACACAGTTTCCTCGCGAGTATTAGAAATTACGAGATTGGAATTGTAAAATAAGCAAAAGGGAGTCGATCGAAGCTAGAGGGAAAAACGCTGGTTACCGGAGGGCGCGAATGCCCGCTGATTGCGCTCCCGTTTATGGGATTGAACGGTGGCCATAAAGTCGGAGTCTCGGTTTACAGGCTAATATTCGTCCTGGATATTTTTATTCCCCCGTTTCTGGGTAGAGCAGTTCCGAAAAACAAAAGGGAAGTCTGACGACCGGTTCGATCGTTCGCTCGGTTGATTTAGGGCCTCGCGTTGCAAACGTCTCGCATTTATTTATAAGACACCACCCAAGAATAAAATGTTGACGGGCGTGGAGGGATACTCGTACACATCGTTCGTTCTGTTCCCGTCAAACTTTGACGTAGAGGTCGTAAAGCGTATCTCGTCATCCGTCCTCGGCTTCGTAAGCCTCCGGATTATCTCTCGCCTGGTTACTGCTTACGGACCGCGCTCTTTCTCCGCTATATTCGCGGCTTTTTCTCCTCTGTCTACCGTATAAATTAGTGTCCCTTAATTCCTTCCTAACTATACCGACAAAAACGCGGACAATTATTTCTTACGCTCTCCTCGTTCTGCTCCGCGGAGATCCAGGATTAACGTCGTTCTTTGTTTCGCCATCTTTTTATTCGGCTTTGAGCATCCTTATCGGAGACATTAACAGCGATACCAGTGATTAGAGCCTTCTTATCGCTCGATTACGTTGCATCCGCTTCTTTCTCTTTGCTAGTTTATGTCTTTTGAGACGAACAGCTGTAAAAATATAGAAATTGTTATATGGTTACTTTGCTGAAAATGGAGTTAGGACTATCAGGTTCGGTTGAAGTCACTGAAACTACCAAACCGGTCAAATGACCGCTCCACAAGCTTCTTATTATAAGGAACACATTTTGTTAAAATACATTTTTTTAAATCAGAATTGATTTTCAAGATAAAGAATAAATGTATGGGTAAATATTGACAGAAGGGGACCCAAGTCACATTGACATATGTTGTCAAGGTCACTGTCCTGAGTAACCTACAATAAATTTTAGCCGCCGCTCGTTTATTAAAAAGTTACTAAATAAAATTTCTATTTGTGACATTACATACATTTAAATATATTATATGCTTGAACATCCTAGAACACCCCTTACACCCAGGCAAGGCAAAATTAGGTTAGGTTAGGTTGGTTAGGTAGGTTAGGTTAGGTCAATACTTATCAAGATGTCCAATCTGTGGGCTCGTACGTCGAGATCGATCGAATATTGACAAAAGGGGTAAATATTGACCTAACCTAACCTAATTTTGCTTTGCCTGGGTGTAAAGGGTGTTCTAGGATGTTCAAACATATATTTAAATGTATGTAATGTCACAAATATTAATTTTATTTAGTAACTTTTATTGTTAATAACTTTTTAATAAACGAGCGACGACTAAAATTTATTGTAAGCTACTCAGAACAGTGACCTTGACAACATATGTCAAGGTCAATGTGACTAGGTCCCCTTTTGTCAATATTTATCAATGTATGTATTAATTCATGTTTCGTCGTTTGTTTCTTTATTTTTAATTTCAAATTAAGTACACATTATATACCGGTAGGTATCGAGTTCCACAAATCTCCAAATTCCTCCTAGCGCTCTAAATGCTTTTAATTTATCCCAAATTAAATTCTTGATACCTAAGCAATACTGGAGTCGTCAGAAAGAATATCCGTGACTCCATACACGGAGCATTAATAATAATTATCAGTTGCAGTTACGCAAATTTGCGAGCGCGCAGGTCATGATTTAGGAGATGATTTATCGGTAGAAAGCTATCGTTTACGGTGGTTTACACGTTACGAAAATAATACAGCTGTATCTAGTATCGCCATCGCGATTAAACGGTTTGCTAATTAAATTATATCGAGTTAATTATTACGATTCACCGTTGAACGAGCGTGCACGCGTAATTATGCACCGAAAGCAAGCTTTGCAGGTTGGCTTATCACGTGTGCCCAGTGATTACAGCAAACCGCATGGAAGCATGTGAAACCACTTGGTTACGTAATAGGATCCTCCTTCTGAAATATTGCATCGTGTGAACGTTACGCGGACGTGCCCCTGCTCGAATAGATATGAAACTCCATGGTCGAAACATACGTCGCACCCACGCGTTAACTCTTTGCCTCGTAAAATGTGCTCCGAGATGCTGACTTAACTCCGATTAATTCCTTCGTTTTTCTTCTCGATCTGACACGTGATTCTCACGCCCTGCTTATTACGAAACGGTTCCTTTTTTTTCTTAATCCTTCCCTCTTCGACGCTCTGCAGCAGCTGAACATGTTACACGTTAATTATCTATGTGGATACTATACGTAAGTTTATGCGACAACGGAGGTACAATAAATTTATGTAATCGGTCTGATAAACTACTATAACCGTAGCGCGTACAGTGATCAGGGAGACGTTTACGTCACTTATTGCATATACGTACAAATTTATACCGACATGGTAAATTAACTGTATCGTATACCAAGGTTTATACCACCGTTTTGATAAATTGTACCATTTTAATCAATCCCTGCTACTTTTTGTTACCAATTTAATAGATAAACGATTGCAGAAAGCGATATTCGTGAACGTAACCTCTGCTTCAAGCATCAAATATTTGTAGAACAAGAGCATCGTAAGCTCATTAAGCAACCTAACAACGGTTTACTCCGTTATTTCGAACGATTAGCAGGAGCTTAAGATCGAAATTATATACAATGATCATTTTCGAAACCGTAAACGACATCTAATACTACGAAGATAATTCTTGGAAGAGCTTAACCCTTCCCGCAAGCAGAGCTTAAAGAGTTTATCCACGATATCGAATCTGAAACGCAAAATCTCGAATACCGAGCGCTAGGCATTACGAACCACCTGCCGTTGCGCAATGGTTCCCTCGAAACGGCTCCAATTAAATGTTGTCGAGCAATCAGCTTGATCGAAAAGCAAAGTACTCGCTCTAACCGGTATCAATCGCCGTTATCGCAAGTAGAACAATCGCGTTCGACGCACGGGTGGCGATGGTTGATAAATCATCGGAAATCGTCCCGGAGCCAGCAATTTGCCAGTGGACTGTCATTACGGGCAACGGTGTGTGGCATGAATCACACGACCGATACGAATGTGTATCGGGCCGCCGGCTTCTACGGAACCGTCCGAAAAAGATTTAAAGTTTAAACGAGCAGAGGGTCGGCCCGATCAGCTGAGCAACAATTTGTCGTGATGTGGGCGGTTGGAATCTTACATATCTCCCGAATGCCGGCCATCCGGCGTTCGTGTCGACGACACGTGCTACATATACTCCTCTACGACACAAAGCGTGTGTACATACAGGCTGTTCCACTTGCAACGTCCCATTTATTTTCGTCGTTATTATTCATGACCGATAGAACCTTTTGAAACGTTCGCTTATGGAGATATTCGTGTGGAGAATTCAAATATGAGTAGATTTGGACATAGATTAGAGGAATTAACACCTCGATTAATAATCTGTTTAAGAGCGAATGTAGAACCTGTGGGTTGATCAATCGACCTCGATCTCGTTCTGAACTTTATACGGTGGACGTAGGGACGTAGGAATTTGGGAACACAGGGATTTGGGGTATGTAGGGATTTAGAAACGCAGGAATTTGGAGTATGTACGGATTTGAAGACGTAGACGTTTGAGGTCACAGAGATTTGGGGTGTGTAGAGATCTGGAGACGTAGGAGTTCGAATGTGCAGGAATCTAGGGACGTGTTTGGGTATGTGAAGATCTGAGGCATCTAGTAACACAGAAACTGGAGTTCTTCAGATCTGAGATACGGGAATTTCACAACACAGGGATTCGAGAATTTACATTCGGAGATCTGAGTATCTAAATATCGAGTGATTTAAGGAACTAGAGATGTACGTATGTAGGTGTTCATGAAGCTAGAGATTTAATTATCTAACTAGTGAATGATTTAGTACGTAGTTGTTAAGGATATATGAACGAGCCTGTAGGTCGAACGATTTGTCTGGTCGGGTCGTAGAAAACGGAGTGTCTGCCTGGCGTTGGCTTTTCGCCATACGCCCACGCACACCCCTCTGCGTTGTTCTCCAAACATGTCCCGAACTTAGAACAACGTCGCCACGCTAATCCCACGGATCTTCGGGCAGACGCGTCGCGTCGGGGACTGATTCTTTCCCCGCGTTTGCCCGCAGCTGTTCTTCTCTGTCGTGCACTCACGCGGATTAAACGCGGACAAGAAAAACGTCGAGTACTGCCGGTGCACGAGCCACGAACATCGAATTGCCGGCTTTCGAGCTACGATCGTAGCGAACGATATTTTAATTACATTGCCCTACCCTCTTCCTCCCTCGCGTTTCCGCTCGCTTTGCACGCGGACAGCCGTCTCCGCGACGTCGTCGGCTTCGACGTGTTCGTGGAAAAGAAACTCGAGTACACTTTACCCGTAATATTCTTCGAGCATACCTTTTTCTAGGATACTCTTCGATTCGAAATCAACTTCCGCCATCTTGAAGAGAAACTTTCGTGCTAGAATCGAGCGAAATTATCGAACCTGATCTCCCAGTATCCTGCGGTTCGTAGATTGAACGAGTCGAAGTTTTCATACGGAAGATTGAATTTTCCGAGACTCGTAAACGCCTTTACTTCAGAGGAACGTAAACTCGGCGAAAAGAGAAGTTGCGTGTTTCGTTTGCGATTTGCTAATTGGACTCATCAGCGTCGCTTACCTGCTTCTCAGACGGTGGATCGTTTGACATTAGAAGTATCGCGAATTCGCTGAAATTACCGTCGCTCTTGCGACCTCGTTCCGCGACGTACACGCGCCTTCTCCGATAATAATTCGTTTAAACTCGTCTTCGTGGCTGATTCTTTCGATCAAAGGATTCCCTTTGTCGTTACACGTTGCTCTCGGTTTATTCCGGTTGGCTCGAGGGGATCTATAACGGAAGCCACATTGGCGTAACTAGGTGAACGCCAAAATCATCCTGGACCAAAATGGATGTCATGATAATAGAAATTCTTTGAGATTACAAATTTTCCGAGTTGAACGGTCAATTAGAAATTGGGAAATCAAATAAACAATTTGGACAATTAGAAAAATGGAATTGGAGAACTAGGAAATTTGAAACTTTATAATGAAGAGGTTAAAAAATTTGACGAACTAAAATAAAGTTCTAAATTCCTGAAACAGAATATTATCGAGCGAGCAGATGTAGCAACGCGACACGGTTGATGAAAATGCTTGTTACGTAGTTGGACTACGAGATGGAGGAACGATAAGGATCGTAGAAAAGTCGTTAATCGAAAGAAGCTTGTTCCGAAAGTAGAAAGCCAGAAGAAGAAGAGGAGGAGGAAGAAATCGAGCAGGGTGCGGTTTGATGCGGTGTTTAACCGCGGCTGAAGGTACACCCATTAAATCAATGGCAAGCCTTCTGGCCTGCTTTCCGCCAAGAAAACTTCAAAAGACGTTTTTACACGGGAATACGTGTGGCAAGCAGAAAGGATACCGTTCGCATAGGGCTCGCGTTTTATGAACCGCTACGAAGATAGGATTTCCCGCTGGCTGATTCAGTTTCTGCGAAAGATTTCGCTTTTTTGATTTACAAACACAAAAGGCCGAGGGGACGACTTATTTGCGGAACGGCCGCCGTGATCCGCGGAAATAAGTCGAATAAGGAGGAGAGAGAAAGGAGAGACGGCAAAGGAAATCGTAGAGTGGATATCAAAGTCGGTTGGGACTGACGCAAGAATACTTCCCGTGGATGTCTATGGTTATCGATTTTTGAAGACTGTGCCTGTCCATTGGCGTAACCAGGATTTTTATGGAAGGAGGCGCACCGTAAATACGCGATAAATCCATACGATCAATTTCTCGATTCTGCAATTATTCCCTAGCTTTTCGCTTCTAGTTATAAATTGGTCGACGATGGAATTTCTCAATCTTTCAACTTCTACATTGCCCTGATCCATTTTGCACGTTTCGCTTCTCTTCCAGAAGTTCCACTATTATATTATCTAATTATTTAATTCTGACTCGTAATTTTTCAAGGAAGCTGAAAATTGTCCGCGTTCGCACAAAATTCCGCACCATTCCGCCGACGTATTCTAACGGAGCACAATCGAGGAACTGTTTGAATATTCTAGCGGGGCAGCATGTTTTTTCCTTCGGCGTATACGATTATCTCGAATGCAACAATTGACAAGCACACTGACAAGCAGACCTTCCAGTTGACGCGAAATTAAAAAGCTGTCTAAAGGTTAAACGACCGGCTTAAAATAAAGCAGCGTATCGCGTGCGACGTTAGATAGTAGAGCTCGCCGTGGAACGATATATACCCCGATTTTCTTTCTCCCCGTTTTCTTTTCCCTTCGGCCGATTTCTTTTTTCTCCTACTTTCTTTTTAACCAAAGATTAAGCTATACGTGTTCCGTGGAAATTATGTATCTCGCGTTACGCCGTTTCGTATTACGAATTCGTTTGGCTGTACAGTTTCTCCTTGCAGATATACGCGGTTTCGTGAAACGCCATAATACCGAGCGCCGGTGTATTCGCGTCTTCTAGGTATTCATCGACTCACGGCGTATACAATGTAAAAATACGGAAACGTATTATCATTATGACCCCGACGAACACAGAACGGCAATTATAATTAGGTCGGCTGCCGATGATAAGCCTTCTGGGAATGCGTGACTCCTGATAAAGTTGCTGACATTTTTCTGTACTCACGAACCGCCTCGTACGTGTCACGTAAAACAAAAGGGCATTCTTACGTTCGCCCGCTATTTATTACCGCGACAATATTTTTTTGCCATTCCGCCGAATTTCTCTACGTTAAGAAACACGCTTTCGCAAGGAATCCTAACCCTCTACTACATCAAATCGGGCTCGAATATTCATACATATTTCCTAGTTAGGAAATCTAACCAGGTTTAGTTTAGAAAGAAGATGAATATGATATTGCTGTTAACACTAGATTTACGGAACCCGTCAAAATGACGGATAATAGGTCTATTTTAGATGACAGAATGTGTTAAGAAATTTTTGCAAAAATGTCAACTTTCATCAACTTTCAGCAAAAGAATCAATGTTTTAGGCAGTCCACATATCATCTGCAATTTATTCATTTTTATACTTTAGGTAAATTTAAATAAAAGTGACCATCAAACGTCCGTAAATCTAGTGTTAAATATTGCCTCTCACTACAGAACAGAATAGATATTTCAAAAAGTGCTCTCAGGGTCTCGTGGATATTCTTTCAAGCTCCTCCGCTTCGAAGAAAATGGTGACACTTGTTCGAGGGAAGCGATCTGACCAGAAACGGATTCGAGCGATAAAAGCGTCGCCAGGGTTTTCAGTCAGCAACAATACCAGCAACCGGGTATCGAGTGCGAACGTCACGCGACTACGCGCGTTATGAATATTGACAAAAGTGGACCCGCGTAATTTATAGCCGATTGTACCGGCGTTGCTCATGAATTTATTCAATAGAGAGAACTCGCTCTGATAATCCGCTTTATAAGTTGGCGATCATAGAGGCAACGTGTTTTATTTCATCCCTGCTTGTCCCCCACCGATCTACTCGAAACAATGCGGAAACACGTCGCGGGCATGTTCAAGCTCGTTTCCAACAACCTATCGCAATTTATATCCCGCTATTTAAAAGACAAATACGCTTCGGTGAAAATAATTGTGGACGTTGTTATTTTCGTTTTGCGATTAAAACCACCCGGTCTGACGTAATTTAAGATTCAATTAACCCCTTGCTGTACTTTGACGAGTCTCGCTCGTGACGCATTTAGAAATCATATGAGACAAATCTTCCTCAAATTTTGAACACTCTTCAACTTGAAATTTAGGTCCAACAATAATTAAGAACTCGCAACATTTTAATTTTCTTTATTTGTTTTAACATTATAGCTAAGAATAGTTAGTTTTGACTGACGCGTCTGGTAAATAAATTGTACGGCAAGGGTTAACTTTGAACAAGTTCTTTGTAATTGACTAACATGTTCAAGAGAGTAAACTACCTTTCAGGTCCAAAATTTGTATACACATAAGTTATACAACTTATGGTATAAACTGTATCTTCTGGTGAAGTTATAAAAAAACAGGTTCCTGAAATAACTTTTGATGTGGCTATTAAGGTGCAACTTTGATTTTGAAGTTCGTACCTAATTTGTAGATATCGAATCGAATTTGGAAATTCCAATCGACAAAGTGTCGTTGGAAGTTGCGAGTGGTTGGCAAACAAAAGGCAGGGGGTGATGCAGTTTCGGAGTGTCCACCGCGATGGGGCGGAAGGTAAATTTCGTCCACGGACAAATTATATTGGAGAGGTCGTCGGTCGAGGTCGAAGGTCTCTCGTATGTTCCGCGTAAGCCTGGCTGTTCATTTTTTCCGTGGAAGCAGCGGGCTTCCAATCAAAGACGCGTCAAGGAGCTTAACAAAGGACGGGTATAATTCATTGCGCGTATTGGTAGCCGATCTGGCCTGGCTTGGCACAAGCGACGGGTTAGCTTTGTAAAAGAAAAAAGCGAAACAGAGAGCCGGATAGAAACGCGCGAGATAACAAACCAGCGACGGACAGAGAGAGAGAGAGAGCCCGTGGCTCTGCCAACCTTGTGAAATATGCACCCATATATCAATGGCGTGCATATCAATTGCCACCATTGCCAACTGGCATGACTATAAAGCGAGCCAACTGGCCGGGATGGCGGCGGACGACGCTGGGACGGAGAAAACGAACAACCGGGCCCATGGGTCCTACCTCCGTGCTCGCTCGAACCTTTCGAGACCCGGCAAGCCTGTTATTCGATCGGCCTTTATTAGCCATAAATTCGATATGATACGCGAGGAATATGATAATGGCCATCAGGTCGCGCGGAATTGTTCGGTCGGTTCGCACGAGACGCTTCCTCTCGAGTCGATGCTCCGACCTTTACGTTTGACAAGCGCCAGATTGCCCTTTTCAAGGAAGTTACAACGATGTTAACTACCGGTCGATAATTCCGAGATACGTGGTCTGAAACGCCACGGAAAGATCTTCGCCTGGTAATCGACCGCGATCGGGGATGCGTCCGTAACGGTGCTTCGGCTCGAGATCGGATAAAGTCGGCCGAGATCGGACCGAATGTTCCGTGCGAGGATACTGGAGACCAGTGCTCTTGAAATTGCAACATTTAAGATTTAGTGGGAGACTGAAAGATTTATAAATTCGATGATATGGGAGTTTCGATACGAGAAAATATGGAAATTCGAATACTCGCGTATTGAAAAATTTACGTGTACAGACCTTTGATCAAACGAATGAAACGTTTACCTCGAAATTGCCAATACCCAAATTCCCAAATCTAATCTAATTTAAACCGTGCATTAACGAGCGTCCGAGAGTATCTTCCGTTCGAGGATCAAGGGGATGGACTGTAAAAATACGAAGGTGAAAAGTGAAGAAAAAGAGCAGCAACGGCACGCGATGAGTTCTGTAACTAGATCCACGTAGGCGTTCCGACAAGATTTTCCCGTAATTATCGAATCTCGTCAAGAGGAGGGAAAAAGAGAAGACCAGAGCGAAAGAAGGAGAAGAAGAAGAAGAAGCGCCAGTTGCGAAAGTAAATGGCTGACGGCAAGAAGTAAGTGGCCGGAATGATTAGAGAGCAGCAGCAGAAGATACCGTTCATTAAGTCATTTTGCAGAGTCGAACCTCCGCCTACTCGAGGAGGGTTGGCTCGTCGAGGCGGCCGTGCAAAAGCAAACTGGCTGCCAACTTGCTTTTGTAAAAAGTAACATTAGCTACAACGAGCCTAGAGGAGGCAGAAGGATCTCCTTTTCCTCTCGGATCATCCACGCTACTCTTCCTTTCGACTACCGATAGGGTGCTTCACCCTTCAGACCATTCTTCTTCGCAATTAAAGGAACACTCTCTTCGGTCAAGGATCGCTATATATTTCATAAGTTCAAGGTGGTTTCGATATCCCTGTTCTTTAACATAACTTTGCTTTTTCAATTTTTAATTCATTTCATCTTATATTATTTTGCTTATATTCTTGATGCAGCTACATGGCATGAAGCTCACTCTTTATTTTATTGA